AGAAAGAGAAACGACGTGATTCACTGAATTCCACGAATCAGAAAGTCCATCTTAAAATTTTCTCGTTTGAAAATTAGAAAGAAATGTGAACATTTTTCATGCTTCAATACTAAAATTTTACATTAATAACAATTTTTACAAGCGGCAACAACAACACATCAAACTAAGCTTATGCCAACTTGCGTTGAATATGAATCAACGTATACTCGATCTCTACATACATTTCATTGTAATCATTTTATTATAACAAATTATTGTCATTACTTAAAATAACATGTCATATAGTAACAGAAACTTTCCTTTTAAACGCCATTGCATGTAAAAGTCATAATCGTAATCATAAGATAAAAAGCGATAAATTGATTGGCTACTGCGTCGGGGCCAAGCATTGTCGCATCCTTTAAGCAGAAGCAACACGAGTGAAACGTCATAACCTCAAAGCCACGATCATAGACGCAAGTTTTCGACCCGCCAAAATTTATCGCTTTTTATAATCTTACGATTAATATTTTTACGTGCAATAACCTTAACAACACACCACTTAGATCGACTATCTCACAAGCTGAAGAGTATTACTCTATATATAAATACTGAATCGTCCGAAAAAGATCTTTTCCTCTTTTAATTGTAATACTTGTTTGATTCTCAAACAAAACTTTAGGAAAAGTATCTGTATTATAAAAGAGCCGTTAATTTTTTTGTTATTTCTTTTGTCATATATATGTATAAACGAAACGCAGTCTCTGGTGCCAACAAGCTCCCCTCAGTGAAGTTAGCACCTTATGTTTCAAAAAATGAAATTTTCGTCACAGTTCCGAATGCATTCTTAAGGATACCTTTACTTAATTCGCAAATTACAAAACGTAGTTCACAAATGTTGACGCAGAATGACGATCATCGCATGAGATAAACACAAATAGAGATCAACTGTACAGCTGGTCACAGAAAAGTCGTAACACCTTTTTTTTCGATGAGTTCGGAAAGCTGCTCACCGAGCGATTGGTTCTTCTTATTCATGGATCCACAAATGAGAATCAATCGCTCGATGAGTAGACTGCATTCCAAAACTCATTGAAAAAAAAATGTTGCAACCTTTCTTTGATCGGCTATACACAATGAAGAAAACAATTACAAATTTTTATTCTGCGTTTGCGAACTACGTTTTGCGAGTTGCGAATTATGTAGAAGCGCCTTAAGGCTGAGTTGTTCTATACCTTTCAATAAACTTCAGCTCACTGTCTTACTCTTTTACTCTTTTGTTTATCTAAATTCTAATAGGTAAATTATCACAGTTTATCTGAAGATGGAACAACCGGCTCTAAAAAGTTCCCATCCGAAACACAGAAGAAAAACTCACGATGTCTTCTAAAC